GCTGAAGTTCACTCTTTCGGATTACATTATTCGATTAACTCGCCACCACTGACTTGAATTCCCACTCCATTTTCTGAACATGGCCACCCCGCAGGGCTGGCTGAGCGAGGTAAAAACAAGCACCACGAACATATTTTCTTTTGTCCCAGGACTCTGAGGGGCAGGAGGGGATCACTCTATGGGACTGCAGCAGTGAAGGGCCCCACGTCCTGCAGGAACCTCCTTCCATTCCTGGGAATGGCTAGCAGCAAGGAACGGCTAGCCCAGACCCAGGACAGTCTCTGCCTACTCAGAAAAGCTGTGTTTGTCACAGGGCTGTCACTGAACTATCACCCCCTTCTTGACACACATCTTAATCGTGAGTGGCCCCAGCTGTTTAGCTCCACTAAAGGATCTGAACCAAAGCAGTGAAGCAATTCTCGCTCTGACAGAGCCTGCTGCACGGTAAGGACAGGTTAGGATCTAACTGCTTTAAATCCATACTCTCAAGCCACCACTTCCCTCATCTCAAATCAGGCAAAGAAACTTTCATCAATAATTTACATGCAGGAAAAGAAGCACTGACACCTGCTGGATATTTTTAATACAAATCTTTATTTGTAAAACACAGGAGAAGTTTTGAACAATCCACATTTTATTTTAATGCATTTTTCCAGCTCTCACCTGAAAATGAGAATTACATGGATCTGCGCTTCGTTATCCATGTTTTATACCGCTGCTTTGTTTTTTTTTTTTTTTTTTTTTGCTCCTGGTGACTATTCATTTATTCTAGGTCAGACTAGTTTTTAATCCATCATGAGAATTAAAGTACAATTTTATGGGGAAAGCAACATACAGTACAGAGCTGCTATGTCAGTAGAGAAAAAAGAATGTACCTTTACTGACACACATGCTCAGTCAGTTGTCTGTATGAAAGTGAAATGAACCAAGTAAATTCAGGATTCATTTTGCCTTTAGATACAGTGATAAGCATGCACACAATTCCAACAACAGAGGCTGGTGCCAGGTCAGTTAAGTTGACAACAAACAACTTGCTTTCTAGTATGCATGTGATATTACAAAAACCAGTCCCCCCCACTTCCCTCCAGAAAAAAAAAAAAAAAGACCCAGAATACTCAACACATCACATCACAAATGCACCAACTTCAACACAGTTTCAGGGTTTCTAGCAAACGTATGTCTGTGAGGGGAAATGAAAGAAATAAATAGTATGGGAAAGAATGCCAATATTATGTTCAAATGTAAGATCTAAATTAACCTGACCACATTTACATAGTCATATAGCATAAGCTTCTACTGCACATGGCATAGAGAACAGGAGAGAGAAGACAGTAATAGCTTTGAAAGAGGCATGTCCAGCTTTAACAACTGAAAATATGAAACATTCTCATCTATAATCTCTGTGATATAAATTGCATCTGTTTTATACCATACACCTTTAGAGATGCAATGTTACCACTGTGATAGTGATTTTGGCAAAAGGCTCAAAATGTGTAACAAGACTCTAAAGAAATTTGGAGGAAATTCCTCAGTCCAAAAACAGTTAATACTTTGGCAGATCTGCGTGCAGGTTGTTATTAATGTGTTCCTTAATTCCTTCTCTTATCCAAGTTTTACAAAACAAGGTCAGTTTTCATTAATGGGACAAATTCTCACTGGCCTATCAGCTGCTGTAAGCAAAATACAAAGCTAAAGCAATAAAGTTAGAAAAAGTAGCTTACCACAAAACTGCATCATATGGTGCAATAATGGTTTAGGCCATGACAAAGAATATCATCAGCAGGAGTTAAAAATTACAATAGAAATATATATAATTTATCTAATGCTGATGATATTTCTATAGGGGAAAAAAACTTCTGCTTCTAGGCAGAATAACTTCACCACAGGCAGCTAAGCAATCAGCTAAAAGCACGTGGTCAAATTCTACATGAAAATGCTGATTACAGTAGGGCTGTACAAAGTCACACAGTGAACTGGTGCTTAAGAACACTTAAGACTCTGCTGTAGCATCATTACAATATAGTGTTTCATGTTCACCATCTAAGAAGCATAGCTATATCTACCTGAAGAAAGCACCTACCTCCTCATGATGGCTGCACAGTCCGCATATTCCTCCGAGAACGACACTGATTATGTGTATGAAGCACAGAATGAACTCTATTCCTCCCAGGACAAGCAGAATGGAAAAGAGGGTGACGTTCCACTGTACAATGTTTTGTGGTTCTTGACATTGAGACCACTTGTTATACTCGAGCAAGTACCTGTCCACATAAATTGTATATGAAAATTGTGCGAGAGAGAAGGACATAGCTAATGGGGTACTTAATGTACACTAGAACTAAACTAGATTCAGACTGTAACTGCACTGAGAATGACTGATGATTATTCCTCTAAGCAGGAACAGAAAATGTAATTCCGCGCAAAGCCTGTCCTATTTAAGAATACATTGAATTACCAAACGTATTTTTTAAAGTCTTGGTTTCTTTTAAAAAAAAAATCTAAGTTATAAAGGCAGAATTTTCTATTTTTGATTAAATGAGACACAAGCTCATGAAAATTGAAAGTCCAAGCCATTTTGTAAAATAAGCACACAGCCTTTCAAAACTGGGCCTACTGATTCAAAGCAAATGGGCCACTTCCTCCCTTGCAGCCTTGTGCTGCTACCTTTGGGCACTCACATGCATAATCTACGATCACCAAACACTAGCTAACTTCAGTGGAGCACTACAGTAGATTCCTATAACTGCTCCTCACCCATGTTGTCAGGTCATAAGCACTCATGACCTTCAGCAAAGTGTTAACACATACCTTCTACATCCAGTAGTAGCAAAAATAAAAGAATACAAAGAGAAAGAATGGTCCTTCTCAAAAGAGATGCAGCTGAAATATAAAATTCAAAATCTCTATTGCAAAGGATCTTGATGTGGCTTCCTACTCAAAATCATCTCTAGCCATGCATCAACCATAAATTCCAAGTAAAAACAGCCTCGGGGGTTGCCAACCACATAAATACTGTAAGAGCACATCATGATTCAAACCAGATCCTCTTCACCTATAGTGTTTGTGGGGATTAATGAAGAACAGCATGCAACTCAGCTTCATAGGCTTGTTTTGCTAGAGAACCCTAACTTTGGATAATTAAGAGGCTTTGGCCCTTTTCACAGTACATGAAAAAAGATTCCTGTAAGCCTTTTCCAGTTTCATTTACACAGATTCTGTAACACAGTCGCTACTGATGGTATTACGCCAGCCTAGGCTGAAACAAAGCAAATTCAAAAGCAGGTCTCACAAAACATTTTCTTAACACTGTGATAAACCATGTTTTATAACAAGGAGTTTGTGAACTCCTCAAGGCCTAAAAGCCTTTTATGTTAAAAATGTTCATGCTCATGCCACGACCAGTATTTAGTGCATTTGTCCACATATGCAGCTAAACATATCAGGCAACCTCCTCCTCTTTGAGACACTACAGATAATGTTAGCATTCATTAAAAATATCCCTCAGCCATTTCCATCATGTATTAAGAACACACTTCTGCAAGTCTTCCAGAATCTGAAATGGCATATTTTGACTGATCAGCATGCTCTAGTAACTTCTTATAAAACAGAGCGTTTAAACTGCTTTGGTTTTAAACTACAGAAGTGTGGGTAAGTCTGACTGCATGTGTTTTGTTCTCAGTGAGAGAGGCACAAGATTGGATCTTTATTTATGGTTACTGGAAATTGCTGGAAGATACTGGAACAAATCCCATGTGCACATACCAAAAGACAAAGCACACCTATGAACACTACTTACCCTCCAGAGGATTCAGTGAAAGGATAGATCCAGTTTCTTCCTACAGTAGTGAAGCAGTATGGTCCCTGGGATAAGCCCAGAGCTGAAATGATGATACAGTAGCCAGAACCAAGGATCCCAACAAAGGCTGCCAGAACCGAGGACAGCACCTGCACAGCAAACACAGACATGACCCTTCAGTATGGCAGTCACCCTATTTTCGATGTATTTGGGACTGAGCAGTACAGGTGGACTTACCACACAGCCCTTCCCACAGGCCTCCTGGCCGGCGCACCCGCAGCACTCCTTGTGGAGCCCGATGAACACCGCGGCTGCAAGGAGCACCTAGGAGGCACACACAGGACAGAGGCCTTTTAGGGATCTAAAGGGAAGTCTAAAAGACACCCCCCCAACTCTCCCTTCCCCAGGTCTTTTAGCATAAAATCGAGAAGCATCAACAAATACAACAGAGCTGAATGAAGTATACTGCTGCCAGCGGTAACAGAATTTCATACAAGTTTGCACTTAACAAAAGTCTAGTTATCACCCATGAATACCTCAAAAAAAAGTATTATTTGTGAACTGCTCAGATTTCCTCCCCATGATATTAAAATAAAAACTATATAGTTGAAGAGTATCACCTATTTGTAAGCCCTTATCCAAATCTATCTCTGCGCCCCGATTCTGCACGTTTAGAAGAGGTTGTACAACAGCTACACTGCTCCAAGAGCAGTTTCATTGACTACTCTTAAAATACACCATGTCTAAAGCCCCATCTTTGCAAATCTCCGTCTAGCTTCCAATGGGGCTGCACAGAGCCATAGGCACACCTCATGAGACAGAAGGCCTTGCCACGCAGGGACTTTCAACCTATGCTTTGAGACACCTTGAGATCTATAGTCTATTCTAGGAAGATTGTTAAAAATAAATAAAAAAGGAAGCCTCTCAGCAGAAAATCTAAATATGTTATAGTATGGTCCACAAAATTAAAAAGGTAGAACATAATTACTTCAGATTAACAACAACCATAACAGAAAATCTCAACTGTTCATCCTTTGTTACTACTGTAATGCAAAGTCTTGGTAACTGTTACTCAATTCCTCAAAATAAACAGCTAGGACAGAGCAATAACAGATGCTTTTCAATATCGCAGGTAATATGCATCAAGGAATTGTAACTAAATACTAGATATCTGTGCATATTAATATGACATTAATATCAGAATAGCTCAACAATATGAAAAAAGTAGGACTAGACCCTAAAAGGGACTAGTATCCTACTGAAGGGCCTGAATCCAATCTGCATTTTGTTTCTACAATCTAGACCCTATGGTTTTCTCAGCTATAAGCCACACTACGTTGCAGATGTGATAACCAACAGTAACTAACAATATATATGGTACCATATAGTTATTTTCTTCTGATACAACTCCAAAGTCATAGAGATTGCTGCTGACAAGGTCTTCAATCAATAAATTAACGCAATGGGTAAAGCAATCATAATACCAAATAGCTCCAAAAAAAAAAAAGTAGAAAGAAATCACTAGCTCATTACTTACCAAAAAACCTCCACCTAGAATGCCATGAAGGCATTCCACGTATTTGCTGAGATGATGCTCTGAAGCAAATCTTGTCTCTCCATTGGGAAAATAAAGTAAAATGTTGGCCACAATGCAGAGCAAAGCAAGAACAAGCAACTTGTACCCAATAGACCTAGCACAGCTGCCAAAACACATGTCTTGAGCTTTATAAAGACTTCTTTCACTAGCCCAATCCAGCCTATTTCATATCCGCTTAAGTGAAAAAGAAGACAGGTCTTCAGTCACACCTGCTTAAATACAGAGGGCTACCTAGCTACCTGGATGATGTTGACATGTCTTCATGAGCATCATCCCCAAATGCTAAAGTAGGAAACAAGCATAGCAGAATGCCACCACCCATTTTAAGTGACATAATTGTTCAGAAGCCAAACTCAGTCAAGAAAATTGAATGGTAGGGTAATTTATTTCACTTTAATATATGATGCTTGAAATGATGACTGGTGAACACGATTAGACCTGAAAAACATGTTTAAACCACAACATAAGTTTTGAGGAATTAAAAGAAAAGCATTTTGTTCTCTCTGTTAGAAACAATTTTGTCTTTTAAATTTACAGATTGATTCAGAACAACCTGAAGCAAGGGAAAGACTCAGCTGACTTCAACTGTACTGAGTCAGATTCTTAGTACACATGAACAAAATAAGGTCTACAGCAATGAGGAGTATGTAGAACAACCTTTCATTTTGCTATCCAGTTAATAGAATATGAGCAAACCACTGGGGGTTAGAAAACAAGGACAAAAACAAGTATGCTTTTAAGGAGTGCTATTTTTCTTGCCATTGCAAAATAAGCTGAATTTAGACTAACAGCTGCTAATCTAAAACTAAACCAAGGAAACATGAATGCAAAGTATTTAGTGTCTCAAAAAGGCGAACATAAAACATAGTTTTTGTAAAGAAAATTCAAGCATAGAAATAAAAAGAATTAAAAAAAAAGGAAAACAGAAAAAAAAAGGGAAAAAAAGGAAAAAAAAAGAAAAAAAGAGAAAAAAAGAGAGAGAGAGAGAAATAGGGCACACCAGAGGTTCCCAAACTATGGTACATGCACCAGAAAGGTTAATTTGCATAACACACAGTGACCCAAAAGAACCTGGAAAAATAAAGTTTAGCCTATTCCATTTTCCCTTAAGCAAAGATTGCCAGAATTCACATACATGCAGATCAACACAGGGACATGTGTTGCTGAGACTACCACTATCATATACGGGAGCATGACTGAGGAAGGCACAAGCCTAGATTCAGAAGAGATTGCTGCTGCCATCATCACAGTATAATACAGTTATCACTGTAAAAAAGTAGCTGGACAAATTGAGTTTGGAAATGAACATGATATTGGAGGTCTGTGGTAAGACGTTAATTCTTTCAATTATTTGAGGGGATAGCACTCATTTGGGATTTTTGTTTCTTACTAACTAAAAATCACAGTGTAACTTTGAGTCTTGTATATCAAATTCTGATCACTTTACTCATGTAACTAGATTAACATGCTGGACTTCAGCAGGGTATTTTGGGAACTGATGTGAGCCACACTGAAGGTTAGAGGAAAAAAAATAAAATAAAAAAAATAAAAAGTCTTGCACAGATGTGTATTTGTGACGTGACCTCCCCGGGTATTGTAGCTGTTGGCCTTGGAGACTTCCTTCATTATGAGAAATATCCTCTGATTGTGGAAACACAGCTTTAATGTTATTGTGTACTTCACCTTTGATGACCGTAAACCAAGCAAAACATCGTCCTGCCTGTTTCCTCTGCAGAAGGAGATGGCTCCTCAGCTGAAAACTCCCTTCATTGTGTTATGCTTGAAACAAAACAAAAGCATGTATATGGCTTCTGGAGAGAAGTCTTAATATGTGTTCTATTTATAACCTGCATTATTGTTTTCCAAATATTGGATCAGATTTTCACATTATCAAGAACTAACTATATTTAAAATCAATTTTGTTGTCCACTGATTTTTTCCAGACAAACGAATTAAGAGTAAGATATCCTGAAAAGGCCTCATGCTCTGAAGAGTTTTAGCATTTGAATACTATTCCCTGGAGCCATTAACAGGCTAGGCTGGTCAAAACCAAGGCTTTTATTCTCTTTGAGGGAGAGGAAAACAAAAAAACAAAAACACAAAAACAAAAGCATTTGATTAGATGATCACCCGGACATTTCTTCTGCTTTCCCTAGCCAATTATACCCAGCTACTATTCTTTAGCACAGTACAAATCTGATAGAGAGAAACAGTCTCTTATTCTATTAAAAAAAATAGAAACACAAAACAATCAATCTCCTCACCTCCCCCCCCCCCCCCCAAAAAAAAAAAACCCACTAAAATAATAGTTCAGATCTCTGTCCTGAATAACTGTGTAGGTTATGAAAGTCTTGTGCTTGTTCGCCTCTGCTGTAGTGAGGCGGCATGAGACGAGCATCAGTCCATTTCTGGAATGGCCTGTGATGCCAAGCGGAGCGGCGCCTGACCCACGTGCAGGCAGAAGCCAAACATGAGCTTCTCGGTGACCAGAGCAACGGCAGCTCACAACACGCTCCACTACTGTGTGATGGCTGAGTTTGGTAGTAAACTAGTAAGTTCACTTACTAGAAAACTTACAAGAACTGCCGCATTTGAGCTTACACTGGGTGAGACAATTGTCTACTCACTCACAGGAACTTCTCAACTCCCCACGAGAAGCCACCATTTCTCTCTCAGAAGACTATTCTTTTAGCTCTGATGTCTGCCCTGAAGAAAGCACACACATTAAAAGGCAATCAATCATCCAGCATTAACAGAGACAATAATGAAAGGCTAAATCTAGGCTAAGCCTAATTTTAGACGGGTGGTCTAAGATTAAGCTTTGGATGAGGAGCACCTACTGCAGAGTGGTAGGGAGACTTGAGCAGCAAGGTGCAGTGAAGCATCCTCCTGCGGGTCAACAAGACTGGGTTTGTTTGACCGTGAAGCACATTCTAGAAAATTGTAAGGTACAGCACTGGGAAAGACTCCTGAAGCCTTTCCTGGGAGGAGGGCTGCTCTGTAAACAATTACAGCAACTATCTTCACCCTTTCTGCAAGATAAAGCGTGACAGCAGAACACAGTGCCACATGAGGCAGGACACTGACCCTCCACTCCTGAGAATTGTGTCTAAAAAACAGGTGCCTTGTCCAGTTGACAAAGTTCCTATAAACAAGCCATATAATTTCAGATGGGGCCCAGGATCCTGCATCTCCACTATTAAAATAAATAAAGAAATATCTTACTAGTCAGTGCTACTTTCACTCTTGCAATGCAACAGGAGTATGGAAGCCTATTTCTTTCACGAAACAGAGATGTTAGTAAGAGACTGGTGTTTCCTGGTAACAAAAAGTGGGACATCTCATAAATACTGGAAGAGCTCCCTTTACATCCAAGCTTTTAAAAGCTGTGTACTCTCCAACCTTCTGCACCTGCTCCTCGAACCCCAATCACATCTAGCACCTCTGCTCTAGCCAGGACTTCAATAAGTGACAAGTCAGAAATAACAGAAGACAGTGAGTCCTAAAAGCCAGAGCAAAGAAAGGTACCATACAAGCAAAGGGGACCTCTGGAGTCCACCAATACATTTTAATGCACAGTAATGCTGCCAACACTCACGCCCCCTACTGACAAGTACAACCACAAACCAAAAAAAAAAAAGAGAGAGAAAACAACAACAAACAACAACAAAAAACACCCTACAAGATAAATAGGGAAGTGGCCTGACAGACCGGTCACTGCAGAACGATCCCAATGCCAAGAAGAGGCTCCCCAGCTGGATGCTTGTCAGGCTGCTGCGCCTGCCGCTCTAGGAACCTGCAGAGCGCTCGTGCTCCGCGGGAGGAGGGCGCAGGACCCTCCTTCCATTAGCTCTTTTGCACATGGACAGAACGCAGACTGGCTGCAGTCTCCTACAAATAAATGAGATGTCAAGGTAGCCTAAATTCACAGTGTTAAACCTGCTAATCCCTCCAAAACTGACTGTATCTCATCTTCGTAGTATTTTATCAGTGCCTTTCCCACCCTCTCCCTCACTCCCCCCACTGCCAAGAGTTGTTCCAGCCTTATATCCAGACAAGGAATAAAATGTTTAACAGATGTTTCCACCATCACCATTTTCTGACTAAGTTTAAAAAATCTCTCGGTTTCAATTCAAGATGTCAGGCAGACAGAAAGATGTCTTTCCTGAAGACCATCTTATGCATCTTTTCAAAATTTTGCTTCTTCCAACACTCCAAATGGCCAGTCCTGCTGCTTTACGCAGCCTTACAACCATCCCTGACATTGCTTCTTAAAAGATACAACAGGCGTCAAGAAACAGAATTGAAACAGTCACATGGCAGATGAATTCCTTCCAGTTATCTTAGAAATTAAAATATTATTTTTTTTAATTACATTAAAATAGAAAATTTTTGAAGCAAATACAATTTTATTACATCATAAACTAACCAGGTGCTAAGCAGCTGGGTTTACAAATATCACTGCTCTTTCAATATCCTATTCTGCAAATTTTAACCAGAGATTTTCTTACTGTAGCTTTTATTGCACTTTCTTGTGAAACTTTTGGTCCTACCCACCACTAGCAAGAGTTAATGGATGCACAGTACGTCTTATCAAAGCACTGGCAGAATGTGGTAACTGGATGGCATCTGAAGGTGAGACAGAATTAGAGCATGGTTGAGTATAGAAGGCACCTCCGGAGCTCTTCTGATCTCACATCCCTGGTAAAGCAGGGTCAGCTCAACCAGGTCAGGTTTTGAATGTCTGGAAAATAAAAGCACGTACTGCACAGATGAATTTGGAAAAACAGAGTAATACAGTGTGTGCGTATTGACACCGGTTGTGATTCAACACTTGTATCTCCTCATAAGTAATTCTCATTTCTTTTTCTGTTACTGTTTGGATAAGTTGCACCTTATATGGGCAAATACTAGTTCAAACACCTGATGGGAATGCATGATGAATACGCAGTCACCTGTGAGTTAAGGGAAGCATCTTGGCCAGTTGTTAGAACAGAACTCCCTCTGACCTTAGGAACAGAAATCCACCCACAAGTTCCTTTTAATCGGAACACCCATCCATGCCTACCATCCATTTCTTAGTGTCCCAGTGATTCATTGCTCATGTTTTCCAGCCATAATTCACAAAGACATAACGCTGTAGCTATAATTGTCCTCAGCCACTCCACCCCATAGGTGCATGTCAATAAGCAAACCCCACCTAGACAGTCATAGTACGAAACTGCTCCCTTTAAGTCTTATGTGCCTGCGGTCTCCTGTTCACAGCCAGAAGAAAGTTAATTACATGACCATGAACTAATTATTTACTTCTGAGGAGGCAACCACGTTGCATCTGTCCAGAAGACAGATCCCCGAGCACGGCAACGCTCGCGCCGTCTGCAGATGTCGCGCAGGGGTGCACGTCTGGGAGCGGCAGGGCTGCGCTGCTTGCAGCGTCACACAGAACCACCACGTGAACACCTGTGGGGAAGTTTTAATTTATTAGGCATAATGTTGACCTAAGAAGCAGTCAGCAATGATGCAGCAAAAGTAATTTTTATACTAAACCAAACAGCTTGGATACTCAAAGGTTTACAATTAAGGGCAAAGACACAAGTAAATGAGCCTATAGAAGTTCTTCTCTCTACAGAAGAAACCATAATCCTAATTTAAGGGTAACTATTATTGCTCTGGGACTTGCAGCACTATTGTAACCTCATTGAACAAACAAAGCACTGCAAGAACTTGTTTTTGATGGCATATAAAAAAAATCATGACATTGCCCATTTATGACTCCTGCAACAATGTTAATATGACAAAAGTAGGACACTGGAGAAAAATATCCCATTCCTATTTCTGACACAGCCCTGTGAGTGAAACCTTGGCTATGCAAAACAACCAACTAAAGCTTGTTTCTCCTTGACTGTAATATTTACACAGACTTACATTCTATATTTGTATTATCTCCCTAAACTTTTGATGTCATTGGAAGACACACAAGTATAAAGCACTACCATCGTTGCACTATAAACATACTCTGTGCTATGCTGTGTGCCGTACCAGTCTGAATCAGAAAATGGGCACTATTTTTAGCATACATATCTTTGTAGAGAACAGCACAATGCACAGACTGTTTCTAGGTTAAAGAACTGTTAAAGTGCCACCTTTGTGCCCCCAAATATACCTAAAACAAACATGCAATAAAGACATACAGTTCTGACAGGCTAGCTACCCTGGAGCAAAAAATACCACTATTAAATCTTTGGCTCTTGTGTTGCAGAAGTCAGTCATTAAGCCTCTTATGTCTGCCTCTAATCTAGTAAAGACACAGCATATCGAAGACTTCATATCTGGAGGCTAAAAAAAAGACCACCTCACACGAACAAGCAAGCAAACAGTACAATTGCCCATTTTGTTTCATTAGTATATGCTCTGTGCACTGTTCATGCACTCTTATCTCTACAAATAGCCATTAGTACACCAATGCTAGGTAAAAAACTCTTAAGATTATTCTTGCTGAATAATCTCACAACTACGGCTTCGTTAACAGCAAATGTCAAGTTTAGTGTTTAAAACTGCACACTATTTGCTTCCAATCTTTCAGTGCACATTGTAAGCAGAAGAACAAATCAGACATATGCACAAGACCTTTGAAAAATTATTTCTTATACTTTACTCCCACCCTTCTATTAAGCATTAAATCACAACACTAAAGTTAGTTTAACCATATACAACCAGTGCACTACATTTTTACTGAAATTTTGTCCTTAAAACAGCTGTCAATCACCTGACCAGATCTTCCACTGTGATGTTCCTCTCACAGGCACATCAAGACCCCGGAAATGCTAGATGAATGTAGCAACACAATATTAATCAAAATCAATAAAAAAAACATAAAAAACAAACAAACAAAAAAACAAAAAACTACCACCAGAAATCAGGATCTGAGCAACATTTAATGGAGAAAAGCAGCAGAAAATGAACACTTAATACTCAGTCATTTCTTCTTTTAAAGGGAACATACTGGGAAAATGCAATCTAAATTGCATTATGTATACAAAACACCTGTCTGCCAGGTGGTACACGTACAGGTAGTAACACACAGTGCTCCAGCACTGCCACTGCAGCCAGCAGATTCTTCTAACTCACACATGTGGTGCCACAGTTTGATTTGAAAGGAAGGAACAACTTGGCTCTTCCTGAAATAGAATAAATTTTTTATTTGTTTGAACTATAATTGCAACTAAGTGTCCATGTCAGCAGTGTGCCTGCACATGAAAATTAATGCTGCAAACTGCACTCACATTCATTCCAGACTAGTGCCCCACTGCACAGCCATCGCCTCGGGGGGCAGATCCTGCCCACAGAACATTCTGCAAGTGCCTGGAGGACAGAGAGTCCCCAGATTGCCACCACCCTTTAGCGATAACCTGGCCACGACCAAACAGGCTCTTGCTGTGCCCGCTGATGGGCCACTGGCTCCAGTGACCTGTGGCTCTCAAGTCTTCTGCAGCAGCTTGTGAAATACCATCTTCAAGTGACAGATGCCACCTGCCTTCTGCATAAGAAGAGAGTGCAAAGTAGCAAAACACCCTGGAACTGAATAGGAACTGAACTAAAGCATCATCCTCACTGAGTCAAACCATAAATGCTTCAATGAGATTGGATTTTGGTTCAGGTGCTAGTTCTGAAAAGCAGATCTACCAGGAAGGGGGCTACCATATGATAAGTACAACAGCCCTATTAGCTGAGCCTCATCTCTGAGAAAACTTCAGAGATGTTGAAACTAACATTTGTCTGCCAGGGATTGCTGGGACACCCCTACAACTCCCAAGATGTCATCAGTTATATTCTGTCCTACCGTGAAGTCACAGGTCTACTGTGCTATGTGAGGGCTGCCCAGGGACATGTGATGGAATGAAGAAAAACTGGGTTGTGTCCTGGGGAACCACCACAGTTAAACATTACAGAGCTCTTTACATGCAGAATTCAAAGGAGGGCTGCTGATTAATCCAGCATATGAATTATGTGCAATAAAAAAGACTATCACGAGACTGACATTCCATTTCATTTCACAGATTTTTTGTTCCTTTGTTGAAGATTATGCTCTAGTGTGTAAAATGCTCCTTTAATTTTACCAGTAAGTCTAACAATAGCAGATAAATCCTTGGGTACAGAGTCACCAGCTCTCCATGACATACAAATAGCAGAGAATTGCTGGTTGCATGGTACTCACAATCCTTCCTGTCACTGTATCTGTACTACGACTGGGAACCCCTAGCTTAACAATTTACTCTGTAGGCAATAAAATATTAATATCTTCCTTGGAATAGTTCAAACAAAACCGGGCTGCATCCAAGGCTTGCTGAGGATTCATCCCAAACTTCAACATATTTAGTAGCACCTTTAAAAAGAGAAGTACAGCTGTGCAATAAGGTAGCATGTGTAATTAAATAATTGATCTCACAAAATATATTTGATACTTTATAGGAAGACACTTGATTTGCAAACAAGCTCTTTTTGTAGAAACTTTTAAGTTCAATTTCAGAGGCCAGATTTTTTTTTCTTGTGGAAGTTTAATGCAGAAACTCTAATGTTTACAAAGTCAAGGGCTTGTCAAAAACAGAAGCTGAAGAAGGAGAAATTTGTTCCTATGTCCTATATTTTATGCCCTAATGAAAATACACCTTTCCACTCTACAAGAAAGTCAATGCTCCTGTAAGACACAAGAGCTATAGAAGAGAAAGGATTTTCCTGCAGTCACTCCCTCAAAACACCACAAAGGGAAGGAACCAGGAATAGGAATACTTCAGCGAGTAACTACAAAGAACAGACTAAATTTAATCTGTCTCTTCACCATACCTGCTTTGGCTTTATATTTTTAACTATCTGCAGGCTTACGTTACCTCCCATCTTCTACAAGGAGGAACTATCAATAGAGACATTAAATTGAAGATAGACGACGGCACCTAAGTAGAGCACAAAAACATTAATAGAAATGGTTATAGCCACATATTGCATTCTCTGATGAAGGAATTCCATTCTTCAGGGGCTCTGGTGCCTGAGAAAGCTAGAGCTATGGACATACAATTTGCTTCCACAAATATTCTGCAACTGCTATTTTATTACCAATTACAGTTTTCAGCAGTTTTCCTTTTTTTTAAACATTAGAAAATAAGCAGATGCACAAGCAAATACATGTCCACTTATCAAGGAACCATACACAAAGATCAAGGTATGAGGACTCCGTGTGAGTGTGTACAAGGTTTCTACAGTCTGCCCCAGAGTTCTCCAGTAGTTGACTCTCCACAGCAAAGACTATGAAACCTTCCAGCTGTGAACAGATGGACAAAAATCAGATTTTACCTGCACATGTCCTTGGGGTTGCATGAACCCTCCCATCACTCCGGAGGAGCACAGAAGTTCCTCACTGTTTGCAGCCGTCACTAGGGCAGGAATTATAGTGTGATATGGACATTTCCCTGGTGCAAGGCAGTTTGGATGGCTGCTACAGAGGGAAAACTTAGCTCCCCTATTCTGGAAAAACAAACAAACAAACAAAAATATATGCACCTTATAAAACAAAAGTGATGAGATTGTTAAATATCATCTATCAGTTTCAAAAAACATAGTTTACAGCAATTGTGCCTGTCAGTCACCAAGACTGATGTGATCAGCTCGTCTGCGGTTATGACATCTGAGAGGGCACATGGTGTCCCTGACAGCACGAAGGGTGCCGGACTGAGGGCAGCTTGCAAAACACTCCAAGGGGGAAAATCAGTTTAACTGTTTTTTCTTTGAAGTACTATTGATACTATATAACTCTACAAGCAAAGTTAAAAAAAAATGCAGATAGGCTTCGAACAGTGTTAGATTTCCTAAAAACAGAAGGTGCTTTGTTTTTTGATTAGTACATACAAAAGGTTTATATATTACATCACATTGTCATTCAACCTGTATAGAAATTCTATGGGAAATAAGCACACCTGTCGGGCCTGCAAAATACAACTTTTATATTTACCAATAGGAATTAACTAGCTGCTACACAAAGAAAAGCGCGCTGCCATTCTCTTTTTTGCAGGAAGTCACTTTCTTCACAAGACGACAGGATTTTGCAGATTAAGACAGATTAATTCTTAAAATTTATAACCTATAAAAATTATACTGAGGCAAAAGTGTCTAAACAGTACATACCTAAGTAATATACACTTTTTAAGTTTAACATTTAAGATGCTATTAAAGTTTATCACTAGCAACTCAATCTTGTTATTTCAGCACTCTGAATGAAAGTTGCCAAGGCAATAAAAATTTAGATTATTTTTTCTTCAAGAACAAAGATTGACAACCTGCTGTCTATGCCAAACCTTCATTGCTATAGATCTTTGACAGTGAGTGCTTGGGTTGGTTAAAATTTCATATTTTAAAAATATATCCTATTTTGAATTATGTCTGATGAAAAGAGAACCTAGCAAACTGCTCTGCTCAGTTCTCAGGCTACCCCTCTATCTGTGCAAAAGTGGAGCAAAAGGAAGAGGAAGTGAGAGGAAAAAGTATCTAGCAACAGAGTATCTCCAAAGAGATGAACATAGAAACTGAATGAGGAGAATTTCCCCATTGCGAAAAGCATACAACAGAACAAATCCCATTCCCATAAGGCTGTTTAACTGGTACAGAATTTATACAACAGCAATCCACGAAACATCAGATATTTTCTTCCAAATTCACTTCCACTTTCTTCCAAATTCATTAGCTAGTCAGAGTTTAACAAGAACAGGGACTATACATCAAGAAAATCTGAAAACTATCCCATCGTGAAAGAAGAGTACAGCGTGGACTTTCTGATCATCTTTCCCAATTGTCTTCACACATACTAGAACGTGCTATAGTGGGAAGTATCTTCTCACTTGCAGAGCAAATCCACAGCCACCTGGCATCAGGCCTGTACCAAAGCCCAAGTAGTTGCTGTTGATGAAAGAACAGGCATTGCCTTGAGGATCCACCACAGTGAAGGACACTCTATCTGTTCCTAATGGCAAAACATTTTCAGAACTGAATTTGTAACTGGCTCTGAAACACAGAAAATACTAACATTAGGACACACTGAAAATGTAACTAAGTTAAAAGAAAGCCACTGCACTTCTACAACACACATTTCACCCCAGCCTGTGAATCAGCCTGCTGGAACCTGAGGTATGCTCATGCATACAAGTGACAAGAATATGATCCTAATCCAAAATTGCTTTAACAAAGAGCTGAATTAGTCTAAACTACTTATCCTAGTACAAAACTGGAGAAAATTCAAGGAGAGTTAATCAAAAATTATAAACTAAATCCTATTCTGAACTAAATGATATAGCAGGTTTCAGGTGGAGACTTTGAAATGACAGATGTTATCATATGAAAGATAAAGCATTGGATGGATCCAAAGTCCACTTATAGCCACGTAAGGTCTATATCAATACAGCATTTCTACTTTATAACTAGTATTTAGTTAAGTTCAAACACGATCCTGCCAATGAATTAAAGTAAACACACCTATCTAGAATACACAAAAGCAGACTAACACACACTGGTACTTATACACATATGGGAATTTTTACATGTGCATGAGTAATCACTATGCTCTTTGGACTTTTGCCATTTTCCTTCAGTAAAGGAAAATGATAGTACAAAATATTTTAAAATTACTTTTGCATAGTAAAAGACATTCCTAAACATGAACCCTACTGAGTTTGACATGACTGCAAACCTCATTAGTCTAATACTCCATTTCTGCCCCTTGATGAAACAAAACAGCGAACATAATGAACAGTGTTAAAATCTGGCTGGGAGGGAGGACAGCGAGGTGCAGGACGCGGGCTGCAGAGGGCTTCACTGCAGTGTTGGCCCGCTCTTGGCAGAACCCTCTGCTTTCCGCTGCGCACGCTCACCAAGAGGAGCGCACTTCACGTGTGCCCGTCCTGCCACGCTTGACGCTCAGCTGGAGGCAGGAATCCGGGGCATTGGTGTTTGCTGGGGAGAACCGCAGAGCTCTCCAGGGAGCTACAGCCATTTCCGATAGCCCATAGGGTCTCTCCTTTCCCCTCTGCTGAAAGGAGGACTCTGCCGGCAGTACCCTTAGCTGCTTCGCTGTGATATAAGCCACAACTAAAGAAATTATTAGCTGAAGGAGACATAGGCACCTACAGACATAGGAAATTTCAATAAATCCCATTTTTGCTGTAGCTTCCATACAGTTCTCTGATCACACTGATTGAGATCAAAAGCTGGAGAAAATTTTCTTTTCTCCCTCTCTTTTTTCCCTGACTATTCCAATAAAATTTTTAGTCTTATGCAGGAGAAACATATCAAGAGTCATTATGGGGTTATTTTTGAAATTGAATATTTTAAAACATTTTGTTTAAAATTACTTTTAAGACATTGGCACAGCAATTCTAGTTCTGTAATTTTATTTTAAAATGCACAGACCAATTGTTTCTAAAAAGTCTTTACTATGACATATCAACTGTTATTTGCTTGTTTTCTTCTATAGCGTTTCATATTTGAGATAAGGTTTTTGCAAGTAAAAACACACTGCAGACATATTTCAAACTAAATAGTTTGAAAGTCTAAAGTCCATAATATGCAAAGAAACAAATGAAAATCTCCAGTCACTGAGCTCCTCCTAAAATTATAGAGTGCAACTGCATATCTAATCATTGAATGCAAGCAAGGAAAGAAAAATACCTTCGTAAATGTATTAGTCAAGAACACTCTTTAGCATAGCTTTTGGACAGAAGTTCTTTTGTAGGTACCAGACCTTTATCAGGGTCTGCACAGAATGAGAAAGCATCAGTGAAGCTGAGTTTCAGTGGCCTCAGTCAGCACATGCAAGTAGTCAGCTGTATTATGATCCATGCCTGAAAAGAGCAACCAAAAAACAAAAAGACGATCGCATGAGACTTACCATACATCTTCTAAAACTTCCAGCATTACTGCATAAAGAATACTGGATACTCAGAAATCATTCAAAATATTTATTGATTCAGTCATATTGTTCAGAGCATTGAACACAGAGTAGTTAGCAACTAAGAATTTTGAAAAGGTTGTTTATAAGAAGGTGTTTTATATGAGACTGTTTATAAAAATCAGTTAAATCATACTAGAGATTTTCTTTGAAAGTTAGACTTTGATTTGCAAAACAAAGTATTTTTGACATAAAAATGAAAAGTCTTTCATACCAAAAAGAGCTCTCTCCAATAATCATGTTTAACTATGCATTATATTAAAAAACCTACTAATGTAGAGTCTTATTTAAATCGAAGTCACGCCTTCTGCATGGGCTTTTACAAAGATTTTCCTCAGAACTGGAAATTGCTGAGAATTTTTACAGATTCATTCCGCGCCTGAATCTCATTTTCAGAAATGGCCAGACTCGAAAAACAAATGCAAAATGTTTACGGCCATCAAAGCTGTGATTCCTTGTCCATTAGGAGGTATTCCTCAACATTCACACCCTAAGGAAAGAACAAAACTTTTTTTCCTACTTTAAACAACTAAAAATGTAACATTACTAAAAATTTACATTAAAAACAGAATGGAAGGCAGGTATTTTTTGGGGACAGAAAAAAACAAAATAAAACAAAAATCTTCCCAACAATAGGACACTGTGTTTCCTTACTTCTCTTCTACACCTTTCAGAATAAGATACGGGTATTTTAAGTTAGCACAGAATTCTGCAATGCAACCCACTGCCAAAAGGCCAGTGTTACATAGCAGTAATACTAATATTATCACTACATGGGACAAAATTATGAGCCTTCACCCAGAATAATTTCAACTGCAGATTAATTACAGATATCCATTTCTCATAACGTACTAGGGCTTTTGACACAGTCTCCCACTATCTTCTCCTGGAGAAGCTGGCAGCTCATGGCTTAGGCAGGTGGACTCTTTGCTGGGTGGAAAACTGGCTGGATGGCCAGGCCCAGAGAGTGGTGGTGACTGGACTTAAGCCCAGCTGGCGACCGCTCACGAGTGGTGTTCCCCACGGGTCAGTGTTGAGGCCTGTCCTCTCTAATATCTTCATCGATGATCTGGATGAGGGGATTGCGGGCACCCTCAGCAAGTTTGCAGAGGACATCAAGCTGGGAGGAAGAGTAAATCTGCTTGAGGGTGCTAAGGCTCTGCAGAGGGATCTGGACAGGCTGGATTGATGGGCTGAGGCATGACGGTATAAGGTTCAACAGGGCAAGGCCTTGGTCCTACCCTTCGGTCACAACCAGCCCATGCAGCGCTACAGGCTGGAGAGATGTGTGGCAGAAAAGGATCAGGGGGTGTTGGTCAACAGGCAGCTGAACATGAGCCAGCAGTGAGCCCAGGTGGCCAAGAAGGCCAACAACCTCCTCACTTGTATCAGGAATAGTGCAGCCAGCAAGACCAGCGAGGTGATCATCCCCTGTACTCGGCGCTGGTGAGGCTGCCCCTTGAACCTGTGTTCAGTTTTGGGCCCCTCACTACAAGAAGGACATTGAGGTGTTGGAGTGTGTCCAAAGAAGGGCAACAAAGCTGATAAAGGGTCTGGAGCACAGAGCTTATGAGGGGCGGCAGAGGGAGCTGGGGTTATTTAGTGTGGAGAAGAGGAGGCTCAGGGCAGACCTTATCGCTCCGTGCAACCACCTGAACGGAGGTTGTAGTGAGGGGGAATTCGATCTCCTTTTCAGAATAACTACAGGTAGGACAAGAGGAAATGGCCTCAAGTTGCAGCAGGGGAGGTTCAGGTTAGACATTAGGAAGAATCTCCACACAGAAAGAGTAGTGAAGCATTGGAAGAGGCTGCCAGGGAAGTGGTGGAGTCGCTGTCACTGGCACTGTTCAATAAACGTGTGGATGAGGCACTTTGGGACATGGTTTAGCAGGATGGTGTTGAAGGGTTTACGGTTAGACTCCATGATCTTGATTCCGTAATGATTCTATGATTCTATCTATGATCCTCAGTACTTGGTGCAGTCAGTGTCATGCTGTGGCCTTTTTTTTTGCCTCATATTCTGAAGAGCTGGAAAAGCTTTAGATCTCCCTGCAGCAGAATGTAACAGTCAAAGAGAAGATTGAGAGTGCCATGTAAAAAACACTAAAAGCTCTTCAGCACTGAATCTGCAGGTCTCCTGTCAAAAGAAAAAGAGCCTAGACCACAAGAGTACTTGCTCTTAGGTGGACATCAGGGGAAGTAAGATGGCCTGTAAATGCCGGCAAATGTATTCTCCTAAACATCTGCTTTGCTGGACAGCTGTTATCAGAGTCCTCATTACCAGGATGTACCTTCCAGGACTAGCTGTTCCTTCTCTGCAGCCCAGGGTGTCTTATTACTCGAGGTGGCACAGGAGATAAGAACCAAGTAGAAGGCGCTCCCAGCAAAATCAGTGTACTCCCTACTATGAAAGGGCTTCTCAATTAGCAAGAGATGCAGATTTAAATCTTCTTAGGCTAAGAAAGGCCTGTGACTTTTCTCACGATGTAGAAACATTCTAATAAGGAAGTGGACACCTCTACTTCTTTTAGTGCTGTGCTCCAAAAACAGTGATCTTTGTGTCATTTTTAAAAGGCATCTGAGGAAAAGAAAGTTCAGAATTCTGCTTTGTCACAGTCTCCAAAATTTCCTCCCTTCCCTTTGCTGGGATGGAGACATTGCCTGCTCCTGCTCGCCACCAACAAACCACTCTAGCAGACAGTTCAGCAGCCACCTGCTACAGTCAAACCCAGCCCAGCGCAGGCGCCAGCCCTTTGCCCTGCTGTGGGCAGCCCAGCTACGAGCAGGAACGGCTCCCAGCACAGGCACTCTGAAATCCAGCTGCAAGTTAGTGTCAGGTTCTTCCAGCGAATGTCAGCTTGGCAACCTACGCACTGGGTCAGCAGAGTCCATGTAAAAATGGATCAAAAGTTTCAAATACCACAAGCTTCTGAGCACTCTTAGCACACACCATCTGAACATTAAAATAAACATCTCCTTCTAAGCATTGAGATAATCCACATTATCTTGTTAAATGTACAAGCATCTCATACAGTTCTAAGCATCTGGATGTTTTGGTTTCAGTATTACACAGTACATAGATTTTCCTACTTCAAAATCAGGAAGTTAATTAACCCAACAGGCAGCCCATTAGTCCTAAGAATCTGTCCTATATTCCTTAGCTTGGACACAATTCCTATTGATGTCACTAAGAAGTTTCCTTGAGTAAAGGCTACAGGCAAGGACCTGTACACAGCCAAGTATTTCCAAACAGCCTCTGTGAGCCATGCTGGGCAAGTCTACTCATTTCTATATTTATAAAACATTGCTCAGGAGGCAAGGGGTGTGCCGCTGCATGACTAATATCTTTTCCTTCTTGGATTAGAAGGAATGCTTTCTTTTGGGAGTGAGACGCGTTTAAGTATTACTGCGTCTAAAGGGTGGGCAGAGTTCACTGACCTACCCACTGAGACAACGTAAGTAGTGACTTCTTTCCTGTCAAGAAAATGAACCTTCACTCTTCTCACGCATTCTGCAACCCAACTATCTTTTAAATAATACGCTCAGCATAAAACAGAGCTATAAGAGTTTTAGCAAGTATGAACAATAATAGATAGTATAATTAGACAAAGCTAGAACATCTAATGAGTCAGAAATCCAAAATGCAATTTTGTTTTCTATATGCAATTGTTATGAGGTTACACCTATAAATACATATCCTATTACCTACCTTTTCCTTACATATTGAGTAAAAGCAGTCCAACTGAAAAATAACTGTAAAATATCATGGCCTACATAACGCAAGAGTCAGAGATGAGCAGTGTCATCAGGACAGCTAAAGCTTCAAAATGGGCTATTAATGCACATACACCATCTACACATACATATATACATTTTACAGCCCAAGGTGTGTAGGGCTTGTGTACAGCTGGGGGGTGCAAATAATCAAAAATATGCCAGTTCAGTCAGTTACGGGGAAGGAATTGTCCGCATACCCTGCAATTTGTGAAAATTGGTTTGACTTCATTGGTGGTGTGGCTTCTAACATCTTCTAAATCCATCACTCCTCCATGTCTCTGAACTGTTTCAACAATAGTAGCTGCAATCCGACCTCCATAAAACCCCCTTTTGCCATTATCTTGCCAGCTCCTGAAAGGGGAATAAAAATGTCATCCTGTAAGAGTCACCTTACAGGACAATCTGTGTTAAAAGACATTTAAAAGTTACACAATTTAAATGATTTAGGTTTTTTTAAGTGAGATGCATAAACTCCAATTTCAATGCTAGGCAATAAACTAAGCCAAGAATCACTATGCTGTTGAAATGGCATTTTCCCCTCAAAAGAAGGCACGTTTAATATGTTATTTTTGGCTATGCTGAAGGTGTTTTAGTTTGGTTCAACTCTTTCCTAAGAATGCATAAATACTCCAATTGCAATTTGTAATTAAATTCTGCTGCAGTTCACATAACAGTTCAATTACAGTACTGGGATACTCAGCACCTTGAAATTTAGGACACTTTTTCAATTGCCCAAATAGCAATTATGGGTGATTAATTTTAGAACGTCAAGTCTGACAATATTGCTCTTAAATTCTCCCCAGTTATAAAACAGGAATACAGCCTGCATTACAGAAAGGTGGGGAGATTTAATGCTTATACTAGTTTGACAAGTGGCATTCTATGAAGTGAAATAGCTTATTAAACACTAAGGGAAAAATAATTTCAGTAGAATCAATAGAAGTTAATGACCTCTATTTAAAGACAAACCATTATCAGCATTATCAGAACACACGGGTTTTGACAAAGTCAAAGTCTGCTGCACTTGAAGACCCCATTCTATCCATGACTGTAACTGTAGTTGTACACACACACAAAAAGGGAACAGCTATGCAAACATACTTCTAAAAATGTCATCCTGCTTTTCAATTCTTGAGAAATGGCCATTTTATCCTATATACACACATAGATAAAATGACTTAACACACTTTAGTGGTATAGTTGACATTTACTGAAAGAGGCCCACACTCAAATCAGTAAAAGTCTAAGAACAGAAAGATGAAGCTGGGTATAATGAAGTCACGGTATTGACATAATACTTCATGTAGCAGGTTAGCGAGTTCTGAGTTATTATAGATCATTAGATTGGAAATATATACAATACTTTTATTCAAAAAGACAAGGGCGTGAGGGCAGACGTGAAACACTTGCACAGGGTCATACGGTAACGACAGTCAGAGGTCTGAAAAGAAACCAATAGTCATGTACATGAAGCACAGCCCAGAGTGCTATTACGACACATATTGGTGGGGATGATATAAAAATAATTTACAGGTGGTCATCATCGAGGATAATGATTTCACAGTGACAACAGGTATCTTTAATTGGAGGGGAAAAAAAAAAACAACTGCCCACAGATGAATGAGCTGATCAAATCATCAGGAATTGAAATCCTAGTGGAGCTTCATCAAAACTGATATGCTATGTCTTTCTCCTAGTCCAGGAAACCTCAGGATTGAACCAGCAGCCTTGCAGATTTCCTTCCCCCTCACTGCCTGTCTTTCCCTCCTACAGAGCCCTCACCAAAGGTTAAAAGTGCCAAGATTCACTCATGGGTGAAGATCCCATAACTCCAATTTCTTCATTGCCATTTGTCTTTCCACAACTGAAGAACACCAGGAGGAAGCTGGGAGAGGTGCATGTGGAATTACAGCAGGTTTGCATCTCTATCTGTACCCACGGAGACAGGTGGGGCAGTGGGAACAGCACAAGGAACAAAGCAGGAAAGCAGCAACGAGGGGCCGGGGAGCGGAGCCCACGCGTTCGGCTGACCCCCGGCACCGCCGGGAGGAGGTACAGGCAAAAGGCAGGTTCAGAAACAGACACAGGAAGAAGTGAAGTGTGACGTCTAAGGGCTGCTTCAGTCCCCTGAGCTCACACCAACCTCAGCAGGATCAGGATATTTTTCAAAATGAGATAAGTAGATTTACTTCTAGTTTATATCATTATCAACAAGACCAGAATGGGGCTCTCTGAATCTTAATGCTTGCAGCATTAGGATCTACCCAAGCCTATATGCAATGAAGGCAACAGAAACGCCAGGCCTGGGAGGGCCTCCGGAGCACTCTGTGCCAACGCCCGGCGCGAAGGGAGGGGATGCATCATCTCTCGAAACACCACGGGAGTGCCCTGAAAGCAACCGGGTACAGGCTGGCACCATTAAATATTAACACGAGCGATAACTAATCAGCTCAAGCTGAGTCAACTCCTTCCTGAAACAATTTTAACCATTTACAAAAAAAAAAAAAAAAAAAAAAACAGAAGTTTAACTAGGCAGGTCTAGACACATGAATTATTCCATGACATGCCATATTCTGATTTTAAGAGGAAAGCATTTGTGAAAAGAAGATCAGTTTTACTTTACGTTTTGAAACAAAATGTTTCTGTCCATACTTGAGCTCGCAATTCTTACAGTTTTGTGAACAAACCTGCTGTTTGCCTTTCAACGCTAGAGTACTTCCCATGGCTTTCAAAACAAAACAAAAAACTCGAAGCAGAAAGAGGAGCAAGGGAACTTTGATCACAGAATTCATGAATAGTTACCTAGCTCTAGTCACACTAGAAAATAACCTGAAATTTCACAGCACATGTCTAAGAAAGCAAACAAAAGAGCAAGGCACGCTCTCAGCACTACAGCTGAGATCCTGGATATGCTTTTATCATGGATGAACCGGCGTATCAACAAGCTCTCACTCTCAATTAGCTGTTTGTTTTTGATGACATTTGGTTCCAGCAACCCGTAACATTACACTCCCTACACAACAAGGTTAAGTGCCTATATTTTTCTATTCATTACATGGAAATTTATGTCCACGTATTACTAAGTAGAAAGTCCTATCTCCCACCCCCTTCAGTCTTACATTTGTTTAAACTAAGTTAGCCAGGAAACAGAAAGAGTTGCCATGGAGCTAAAACTAATTCAATATAGGCTGCTGCAAAACCTCCAGTAATTAACCTATTTACGGTAAATCCATTTCTCCTTTCATTAAATGCAGTCTCTATCATTCCTGCAACACAGCAACAAAAAAATACAGCTGCTGTTCACTTCCTGTATAACCCAAGCTTCAGGGACTCAATAATACAGTTTTACATCATTTTTCAGACTTCATGACAGATCTTTAATTGAAGTTAAGTGGTGAACTGGAGTTCACAATCTCTGCAAACTCTGAGTGCAGAAATGAAGCTCCATCTATAAAATCAATTATAATTTGTTCCTGAAAAAACAATAAAGATTCATCTTTTGTTTGTTTTACAACAGAAAGACCTAGTATAGAATATGGTCAAAAATTGTTTTCACTTCTGAAATCCAAAATTAATCCAATATTTTAAAAACATACCCTGAATGTTTTCAGTAACTATATGCATAAAATAAAACAGTGCATTTAAAATCTCAGGAAACAAAACAAGCTTCAAGTTATGGAGTATAATAAAAGATAAATTTGTCAAATTGTTAATATATTCCAACACTGTTCCTGAGAGGGTACTAGGATATTACAGCTGAAAAACAGATAGGCTTTCTATGAGAAAATAACAGGTAATTCTATTTCAAGTTGGGATAAACTTTGCCTGAAAAAAGAAGAAAAAAAAATAAATCAAACCCCACGTATATGAAGGGACAGCTGGAATCTTTTTGTTTACTAAAAATACAGCAACAGAGCCCTGCCCAGACACTACATGGTGACAATGAGTAGAACTAGGCCATCAGGACAGATAGAGCATAAAGAGCTCTTCAGTGGAAAGGATTATTTGAATTTAATGTGGATGTAGTTACCAACAGCATAATTCAACTCCTATCCTGGAAAATTTGATAACAACAAATCGATAATTACCAGCCACAAACTATGTAGTACAAAATAGTTGATACAACTCAGCCATCTGGACGCCTGTTTACAGAGCAACCCCGCTGCTGCCGCAGCTCCTGCCGACCTCGCGCGCGCAAAGAGCCGCAGGGCCCAGCACGAGACGGCCCAGGGGAAGGGGAGGCAGGAGGACGAGGGGGACGCCCTTCGCGTGAGCGGTCTGGCCAAAGGAGCTGGGTAAACTTCCCTGCTCCTCTGCTGCAACGAAGAGGGAGAACTACGGGGCAAAGAAGTTAGAAGTGCGGGGGGTGGTTTCCTCATCCTCTTTTATTTGGAAATCCTTCTCCTTGCATAGTACAGTACCTGCTACCTCTGCATGGAGACAGGTAGCATACAATTCACTTACATCCACGATTTTACACTGTATTTTTCAGTTGGTTCGTAACAAAGTAATTTCACAACAATTCATTACAAATCTAAATGTTAGACTTACCATTGCATGGTTTGTCTCATTTTTTAATCTGACTTAGGAAGAACTACAAAGGCAAATATACTCAAATTCTGGTCTCTGCTACAGGACTAAGGAGTAAATTTCACCGCAGATAAAAACACAAACACATAGTCACATGTTGCCCGCAATGGCAGCACTCAGAGCCTATAGAGCCTAATGATTACATCAGGAAGCACAAAGCCTACAAGGTCAAGCCACTAGCAGGGTACAGCACGGTGGGCAAAATCACCTCATAGAAATCACACACTGTCTCAACTGCACGTGAAGAAAGATTTGGGTAAAACAACTCAACCCCACATTCCTCCTGCAAAAAGTGTTGCACAGAAGTCAGTGGGAATGATGGATACATACAGGATATCTAACTCCTTTATGTATAACTAAAAATTAAATATTTTACTTATTCAGAAGAATAAAGCAAAATAACTCACAATCCTTTTGAGTATCCCAAAAAGTGCATTCCTTACCTTAAAAGTGTTAGCCAAAAAGGGATTGGAGAAAACCTGCCTGTGCAGTGGTGCTTGGCCATCAATGAGTAACTCCTTCCCATGCTTATTCCCAAGCGACTGGAGAATATGAGCATCACATTTCCAGTGACGGGCAGTAATCTCTGCCACAGGAAAACCTCTTTCCGTCAGTTCAATAGCAGGCTGTAGCAGCTGCCTGATAGAGAGCTAAAGGAGATAGGAAAGGATTGCAATATTACTTTTGAATTACTGCATTACAATATGCTACAATGCAGCAAAATTTTAGGTGAGTTTGACTTACACGACACACTTCCCCAGAAGAAAATTATGATTTGTACACAACCAGATCCATGGAAGTACTTGCATAACTTCTGGTTTTGTTTGTATGTTTTAATGAAATAAGCCCACACTCTCAAAGACCCAAACTCTCAGCACATGAGCACAGTAGCAGCATACACTAACATGGCATTTTGCCTGAAAAACATGCTTGTTATGTTTATACCTTTAATGGTATAAATCAGAACAGTTTTGTTGACTCTGACTATTATTTTACTTGTGCAATGATTACTTACAACAACACTAACAAACCTACGCTGCTCAGGGAAACTTTTTACAGCCTTTCTTCTTGGTGACAATACTGAGTGCAGCACTATTGGAAGCTCCATCTCAACCATTCAGATTAGCCACTAGACTTTCTTGCTAGGATCAAATGGTATCAAAACCACATGGCAGTACAAAATAGTATCAGTTGCATTAAATAACTTGCTAGTCTGATGTCTGAAACACTACCATGCACTAAACCCCACAGCATTCATTTAAAAATCTAACCAAATATATACCATCAAGTTTGCAGGCAAAAATGTGGAATCTACCATCTTTTTTCTGCAGTTAAAAGAACTCCTGACAGCATCAAACCACAAGGCTCAATTCACCCCACCTAGTCTTGATCCTGAGCCATTTTTGTAACATAAAGGGGTGAACTACAGCCAAAAGCTGGGTGAATAATATCTGTACTCAAGTTTCTCTGTCATTAATATTGTCGTTCTGTAGGTTAAAAGTACATTACAACAAATATCTTAGTATTTTATTACATTTTAGTAAAACCCTAGCTTTATTAAAAAAGATCACAATCCTACTTGCATAACGGTTTATATTTGGAACCTATAAGAACTTGCACTGTACGGTGCACTGGACACCTTCATTTAGCTTCACCTTCTTACTTCCAAGCAGAGAAACAGCATCACACCAGGCAGCTGCTGCAGCAGGCCCTGTCATAGTATGGGCATGACGCGGAGGGAGAGGACTTGCTTCATCAAACCCTTGTTCTTTCACGAGCTCAAAGGTCAGCGCCCTTGGAGACCCACCTCTGCAAAGCAGACAGAAGCACACTCATAACGTGGCAGAAAAAACAGCCTGCTGCTCATATGGCAAAAGAGCCTAAGTACTAGTCTAAGGGCTGCACAACTGCGCTTCCGATGGCTTCATTTATATCATATATGTGAAATCCAGATCCTTCATGTTGCTGCTGGAACATTTACTGTGTCTATTCTTCCTCATCCCCCACTAACAAAATGGGATCACCTGGACAAATATTCTTTTCAGATCCTCAAGTTCCTATCAAACTAAAAAACCAACTGGCTGCTTCCTCTTTAACTTCTCCATTTTAACTTCTTCATGTGAGTTCAAGGTAGAAGAAAATACTCTCTTGTCATGAAAATCTCTAATTTGAACAGAATTTAAATAGAAAGAAGTTAAACAAACAACTAAAGAGGAAATGAGGTGTAAATATGGACTCTAACCCCTTTCTTTACAAATATGTCACTGGTGAAAACAGCATGGGAGATGAACTAGCCAGCTCAAAACATGTTTGTTGTTATGAGTATAATACAAGGCAATAAGCGTCCAAGCCTCACAGCAAATTGAATAAAATCCAGACAGTGAAGGGTAATATTCTGGCTGTCAAAAAAAAGCTGTACAGAGTCTCCTCAAAGTACATACAGCTTGCAAGATCAGATCCACAACAATTCTTAAATTCGAACAAACTGAAAAACGTACTAGTCTCTGGAATTTGATCCACAAAGTAAATAGGAATAACCTATCTCTAGCTCCAAAGAAAGTAATTCTGTCTTTCTTCAATCTGCCTCTCTCTGTAATCTACTGCTTCTGATCCATAAAGAGAACTGCCCTCTTTTCAGAGAGCTGATCTGGGAGTATAACCGAACCCATCTATTTCATCCAGGTCTTCTGGGTATCAATAATGTGACAGCTCAACATGTACTTCTTTTTCATCATAGGAATCTTTTCCTGCAAACCCAGGTTCATTATTTTTCTCTGACACACAAGAACCATTTCCACGTTAGGGATTTTAGAGCAAGCATGTCTGCAGGGCAGAAAGAGGGCCTGGGAGAAGCCCCAGAGCTCTACATAGAGCCCCAGAGCCACAGCCAGACCCTTTCAGCAGCGCCCATGAGCAACCAACAGCACCGCACAAAGGCAGGACCCCGAGGCAGGAGGCAGGGACGTAACTGGGACATCCTCACCTCAAGGCTGAGGCAGCCACACATCTCCTCGCCAGCAGAGAAGCCCGGCGGGAGCTGAAGGGCCAGCCTGCTGGGAATGGTGTTTTGTCAGCCACACGCCAAGAGCAGTGGTTACCTCCTCTCCCTCCACCCTGCACCAAGTCTAGGAAAAGAGAGATCTGAAAGACAGGTATTCTGGGCCAGAGTAAAAGCAAAACAACTCAACTGAAACTTGCAGCATTATTTACTGCTTTACACTTGGAGACACTTAGGCTGTAAATTGCTCCCAGATATGCTGAGGCAAGGAATTCACAGGAGCACTTTCCTCTCAAATGCACTGGTGTTTCGCTCGAGAGAGGAGTGCACTCAGGCTTTACCTTTGGCACTTGCCTTCCATTCAGACCATGCACGCACTTCATATTTGCATCATAGCAAAGACAGAAGCAATCTCCACCTACGCTGGTGCTGACTGTCTCCATGACCTTGAGGGCAGCAGTTACAGCCACAGCAGCATCTACTGCATTCCCACTGTTCTTTAAAGTGTCTGCAACAGAGATGTCTATCAAAACCTGAGCAACTGAAAGTCCCCTGGAAAGGGGCCGGGAGATACCTGTCCAGCCAGGACATGAGCAGATAAAAAGGGGTTGAATGTTTCCAGATGATTCCAGTACAAGAGGGATGTAGATCTACTGGAGAGAGTCCAGCACAGGATGATCAGGGGCCTGGAACATCTGCCCTATGAGGAGAGGCTGAGGGAGCTGGGCCTGTTCAGCCTGGAGAAGAGAAGGGGAGAGGGGACCTGAGCAGTGTCTAGAAGTACCTCAAGGGAGGCCGTGAGGAGGATGGGGCCGGCCTCTTTTCATTGGTGGCCACCGACAGAACTAGAGGAAACGGCCGGAAACCGAAACACCAAAAGTTCCACAGGAACTTAATGAAAAATTTCTTAACAGTGAGAGTGCCAGAGCACTGGAACAGGCTGCCCCGAGAGGTTGTGGAGTCTCCTTCTCTGGAGATCTTCAAACCCGCTTGGACGCAGTCCTGTGCCACGTGCTCTAGGTGACCCTGCGTGTGCAGGGGTTGGACTAGATGACCTCGAGAGGTCCCTTCCAACCTTGAGCATTCTGTGATTCTATGATGATTCTCTGGAAAGAAGGATCAGAGGTAGAAGTTGTGAAAACTTCTTGGCTTAAAAATGTTTATTCTTGTGTAAGATATTAAGATTCTCATATTTTAATATGTAGAGAGAAGCAAAGATGAACGGAAAAAAATGTTAGAAACAACAACACAAGCATTAAAATCTGCTTCTACTGAACCTAGTGGTAATTTGTGCTAGGTACTTCAACGTGTAAACAAGATTTCACTCAAACAACGGTAATTTCAAATTCTCAAGTTTTCAAGGCTTTACAGAATACGTAAAAATGTCACTTCTAAGTGCCAGAAAAAGAACCTATTAGCAGACCAAAGCATGAAAATCACTGTGCTTAAGGGCAGAACACATATGGGGACACATTGCATGCTGTTGCACTCTTCAGAACCGCACTGTGCCATGGGGAACACTACAAGGTTCTGACGACACAGGGTAATTGAGCAACAGGTGTGTTCATGCCAAGAAAGGAGAGGAAGTTCACACAAAATCAACAGCAGTGATAGCATCCAATTAAGCTTCCCCTGCAAGGCAGGAAAACCGGTTCGTTCAGTAAAAGAATAAAACTAGAAACACAAGGCAAATTTATCTATTTCTCAAGCTTAAAGAAAACGACATGGTTCTCACAGGCCACTTCTTGCTTGAGTATCTATTTCTATAATGTCGAGAGGAAGAGGAAAAACTAAATTACACTCAAAATGAATGCAGATGCGAGACAGACAGTTGTGCACTCAAAATGACAAGGGGAATTTGTGACTACAGACAGTCATCGCTGTGGAAGTAATTCTGATTTTATCATTGGGTTTTGACAGAGATTCAGAGCAAAACTAGAAAGTACATACACACACACATAAGTAATTAACAGACAACTCTAAATTAAGCAGTTCCTTTTTTTTTCCCCTCACATTTTGGAAGTTACCTGAAGTGGGATTTTAGACATCAATACTGATTATTAATTGCATTTCAGTGCTACTTATTTGGCCCACAGTAGATGTGACACTCCTTTCTCTTCCAGGTATTGTGGTTTATAAGAAGAGGATTTTGAACAATATGTAACAAAACATATTTTCTGCAAAAGGAACTTCAAAAATAAACCTTACAAGACTAAACAAATGTAACAGTAACAAAAAAGAGGCAGAGAAGTGTCAGAGATTTCTTAGCGGCCTCATGCCTGGTTAGTACAGGCTGTAACAGAACAGTTACCTAACAGCCCTGTTGTTAAAAGTTTTGAGTAGAATGAAGGATTTGGTTTATTAAAATCTTAACAGATGTTCCCTATAGAAAAGAAAACCTCAAGGCATTTGTGAGAGAAGCTGATGAATGGGCAATGCAGGAGATGGAAAGTAACACAACGTGATTAAAGAACGGTAGGATTGCAAAGAAGTAAAAAGCAGATTCACGGCAAAACTGTTAAATCCAATTTGTACATAAAGCTCTGTGTCATTTTTCATCATTTATAGCTAAATCAAGACTTCTGATATCACCTAAAGCTGGCAGCACAGGAAATAAAGTCAGGCTTCTTTCGGTTCTAGTGTGCCTCCCCTTGCACTTCTTTTAATAACTATTCTTCATTAATGTGCTCTCCTTTGCTATATTCACAATGATACTAACGTGCAATATAAAACCCCACCTGTGCCAAGCTACATTTGTCACAAGCTCTTATCTCAACAGAAATGTCACAAACAGAACAAAGGTCTCAGGAGATACTGGGGGAGTTTTGTATTAGTCTGTCCTCAGAGAAGAGCGGGATGTCCCGCAGCTGGGGGTGTGATAGGAGGGCAAGGGGAAAGCCCTGGGAAAAGGCTTCTCTGTCAAAGGGAAGTCCATAAAACCTGGTTTTCTCTTGGACATTTTTCCTGTCTGCTTTCGCATGCCTCACCACACAGCTATATATCACTTAACGTGACAGAGCTTCCTTACAAAGCAGTAATACCAAAGTGAAAACAGCAGAGGCTATCATGGCATAATGGGTGGGATGAAAGTTGGGTTTCATTAGGATATTTTTTGCACAATTTTTTATTTATTACAGTGCAACATTTCTTGGTATCTTTACTATTAGTTGCTTGCTAGAGTTGTCTGTCTCCGCTATAGCTGTACTATACTGTGCTGTATGAAGTCCCCAAGCCACTGTTAAACACACTAACTTGCTCTATCCTTTTTTTCCTACAAGCATAACACCAAAAATATTATCCTGCTACTCTAGGATATCTTCTTTCTCTCTTCTTTCCAAATGTACTTTAATCAAAGAACTTTTTCAGATTTATGGATGTGTGTTTTTATCAGACTAGTCTCTTTATCAGCTGTTTTACCTAATATGTCAATTACAGACCCATCTAATGACGTGTAAAAGGAGTTTGGACTGTGAATACGTAATTATACTACAATTAACTTATCAGCTAGCTAGTATAAAAAAAACCCTATCTTTAAGGTTCTAATATGTAAGCAGCATAACATTCTAATATGTAAGCAACATAAGCTTGCCTTTTCTAAGACCTCTGATTCAGGTCCTTGTTAAAGGCAGAATGCTGAATGAGAACTGCTCCAAATGACAGATTTTATACAGATGTTAACACTGTTCCACACACAACCTTTCACAGAATTCACCTGAAAAGTTCCGCATGTTCCCACCAAGTTACATGTTACTCATGCAGTTGCCCTAACATCCAAAGCTAAATGAATGAGAAAATGTTCACCTCTTTCTCTACGGTTCCCCAAAGCCCTGTATTGTCCTCACAGAATCACAGATGCATTACGGTTGGAACTGATCCCATAGTCCAGAGGACAGTTAGCTACCACAGAGGCCAGGAAAGAAACCCATGCTGATGTATTTCTGAGTTAGGTCCTTCACTGCAGAGCGCAATGTCAGAGTACGAAGCAGGCAGACCAAGAAGGAAGAGGAAAAGGGGAAATTCAGCCTAGAGAGAGAAAAAAAAAAAAAAAAGCCTGACAGAACCAGCTCTGGTTCTAGACACATTCTCCAGTGTCAGAGGTGACTCAACACGCCCCTGTCCTTGTTCTGCCTTCTTCACCGCACCAGCAGAGTTGTCTGTGAGGCTCATGATGATTCGGATGAAGCAAGTGGTCTACTCAAGTAGTAAGTTGATTTTTTTTTCCCAGATGCACCATTTCTATGAGGACTGTGGCTGCTTAAACTTGTTTATTCAACACTGGTATTTAATACAAGCTTTAATACAGCTTTGGACAGTTCTAGATTCTGTACCTAACAGAATGCTAAGGTTTATATATTCTTTGTCTACCTGTGTTTGAAAATTCAGCAGTGATTCACTATTTAGATCAAGAACAAGCCACAAACATCTTGAAGAAAAATGCATGTTTCCAGTTTGAATATAAAAACTCCTGCACTTTATCCTCTGAAAAAAGTGGAAACCAGTGGCCATCTCAAAACCCTTGGAATTCTCACGGTCCGCACAAGAACCACAGTACAACAGCACCTATCACTGTTCACCATGGGTGAAAACTGGCATGCAAGTTACCATAGCACAAGTTTTACAATTTGCCAAGTCTACATATGAAAGAGAAGGTATCTAGCATCTGCTAGAAGGCTGCAGGTGCTGCTTTAGCAGAGATGCTTGTTCGAATTAGCAGTCATAGCTACTCGTTTCATGTACACGCTGTCTCAAATCCATTTTGTAGCTGGTTTTTTTTTTTTTCTTATGAGAAAGATTTACTAATCACCAACCTTTTTATTTTCCCCCCCAGATACGTTCCTGCTTTCACACACACATTTACAGGAATGTAACAGGAGGTATGAGAGCTGACATTAAAAATGCTGGAACAAGAAGAAGAGCTTTTCAACTCACTTGTGCTGTTTAGATGCAGTCTACAACTTGACCCAAAGACTAGGCTAAGGAGACAGATGCTGTGTTGACCATCGCCAGCTCAGCACATCCACACAGGAAGTCTTCATGCTATTTAGATTGGGTCTCATGTAAAACCTGGGCTACATTATCTGCAGACTGGCTTTACTGCAATATGTTCTGCACCCTTTTTATGCCATCTTATGTCTCTCTACCTCAAAATGCTTCCAAAATAGGTATGGGGTTAGCACCTGCAAAGTTATAATTACGGTTATATGAGGTGCATAAGCACCATGGCTCTGACCTACCTTGTTATGAATGGGCACCCTGAGCTCATGTTGCATGTTAATACGATGAGGCTTCGTTTCACACAGCATCACAGAACGGTTGAGGTTGGAAGGAACCTCTAGAGATCATCCAGTCCAATCGCCCTGCTCAAGCAGGGACACCTAGAACACAGAGCACAGGGTCGCATCCAGGCGGGTTTGGAAGAGCTCCAAAGAATGAGACTCTATAACCTCTCTGGAATACCCACTATAGTTAACTTTATGCAACTTAGAAGCCTCTATTCATTTTTTCTAACCTGGTGCAAGGCTAACTCACATGTCAGTGTCACTTTAGGCTGCATAAACCAGCACTGAAGCAGTCCCACCCTCCCCGCTCCACAATGACTGCTCCTCCGTATCCCCATTGCACTCACCCCCCGAGCTCTGCTTGCCACATGTAGCATAATTTTAAGTGCATATTTTGCTTGAGTGCAGATGAAACACAGGGCTTTATGGGAACACATCATCCTCTGGGAACACAAAATGACACAACATAAGGAGAGTGTCCACTGAAACTTTTCTGTACTTTCTTCAGACATACCAGATGCAAATGTATGCCTACCAGATGCCTCCATAGTCACGAATGCGATAACAATAATGTATTGATGTATTCCTTAATAAACTGTATGTATTGGAAATCAGTAAATTGAGTTATTAGCTTAGCCTTCCCAAATAAAATTCACTAGAACTTGTCCACTGCATATGGCTGTCATTTACATACGCCAATTTATTACATATTTTTGTTTCAGTCTCTGCAAAATATTTTGCAGTGTGAAGACCAACAGTGTATTACAAAAATGATGATCCAAAACTAAGAAGGATATTTACCCAGCACCTGAACTCAGATACCAAGTGCCTCATCCGCATTAGTAGAATATTAACAGAGGTTATTGCCTGTCAATGTAAAATGAACGGAACGCAATTTCATTTATGGAGGTTCAGAAAAACTGACATCATGGCAGTGAGAGCTTATAAATAGCCAGGACACCACATTACCGATAGAACGCTCTCTGCGGAGACGGTGCTGCAGTTCACAGGCTCTAAAGGCACAGAAGAAGTCGGATTTTGTAAAATAAGCTGCGAAACTCCTTTTTAAAAAACAGCTGAGAACCCAGAGAGACTTTTTTCCTTTGTTTTCAATTGTGTTTGCAATCTATTTTAAAAACCATGTGCACTGGAGAATGTGCGAAGTGCTTAGGAGTCACCCTCATCCCCTTGGCTGTGTTATGTACCCTCGCTAACATTTTGCTGTTTTTCCCTGGAGGAAAAGTGGTTGACAACAATGACCACATCACAGATGAGGTCTGGTACTTTGGAGGAATCGCGGGATCTGGTATATTGGTGAGTATACAAATTCAGTTATTCTCACTTCCTCCCCCATCCAAATCCAGACTTTGCATTATTGCTTTGTTTTCACCTCAAATATAAGTGCCAACACTGCAAATAGGTTAGAGCCACTGTTTTAAAAAGTATCTAACAATAGTTAACTATGAAAAAAACAGTTGTAAGAATTGAAGAGATTTGCTCTAAGAAATTTAATTTAGTGATAAGAAAAAAAAAAGGCATGGAACAACTGTACTTAAAAGCAAATGTAACTTGAAATCATCCCAATTCAAGCTTTATTTTTGTTGTTGGTAGATGATCTTTCCTGCTTTGGTATTTTTGGGCCTCAAGAATAACGATTGCTGTGGATGCTGTGGTAATGAGAGCTGTGGAAAGAGGTTTGCGGTAAGTGAAAGGAATTTAGGAAAAAAAAAAAGTTAATAGCTAAATTGTTACCAATAAGGGCATAGAAATCTTGTGCCCACAATCATCGAGAGACTGGACATACGTTGTCCGGAGTGTGAGGCATAAAGCCCTACAGATTTGCTTGAATCCTGGGAAGCAGGAATAGCAGAGGGTCTAAACTGCACTGTACCTCTGACTTCGTACCATAACTGTACTGCAGTTTTGCATTTTCCTAGGAAAATGTATTTACAATAGATGAAACCAAAGCAAAACCTCTGCTTTGTTTTGCCCAGTGTAACGGTTCTCTCTCTCTCTAATCATTTTTTGTCAGCAGTTTTAGTATTAATTTGACAGTTGCACAAGCTCTATTACACTACCAGTTCATTGCACATTCATGCAATGAGCTGCGAGTATTTTATTAGGTTCATGAAAAAATTCAGTTTTGAAGGGATTTCAGGAGATCACTTAGTCCAACGTCCTGCTTAAGGCCATCACCTATGAGGTCTGACCACGTTCGCTGAAGCTATAGCCTCCTTTCACACAAGTGGAAGGTTTCAAATGGGTATCTTCAGACATCAGTAAACCTTTCAAACATTTTTGTTTGTTTGTTCTAAACATTTTGTTTAGAAGTGAGGCAAATAATAAATACATCTCTATTAAGAAAGTCTTTACTTTAGCTGAGACGTATTTTTCTTGGCATAAGTCTATCTTTCACAAAGGAACAATTTTTCAATTAAAAACAAAACAAAATCAATGGAAAAATAATCATGACTGTGAGATTATCCGTCTCTCCAAGAGGCTTTGCCCAAGTCCCACGCTCTACGGCGCTATCTTCCCGCAGTCCCAGAAGCGCAGGGGCAGCGTTCCCTTTTTTTGGCTGTTTGTGGAGGGGGGGTTGGGGGGGGGGGGAGAAGCAGGCATTAAATTAACAAATATATTTAAAGGCAGATAAGGAGAAACAAATGGCTATATACGCAGTTGGAGGGAGGGGGACAAGCCAGAAAAAAGATGGACAACTGAATATTTTACCTAGTAACTACAACTGCTTTAAACTAGCACCTGATAGCTGTTGTTTTTCTTTCACATTGTACTGTTTGTAACATCTTTCCAAGAGTTTTCTATATGAAAAAATCCCTCTCCTGTTCCATACCATTTCATGGGGAGGGAAAGATCCTGCTTCTAAATATCTCTTATAACACACTCAGCAAGGACATGGAGGCAACGCCCTTAGCATTTTGAAGGTTTTGGACTGACAGCCAAATACAGTCTGAAATTTAGAAGCCACATATTCCTCTTTACATTTTATTATCAAATTTCTGTTATGAGTAACCTTATATTAGATCAGTCTGGCTTTGAAGACCACAGACACCAGCATCTACCAACCCCTTAATGTTTTGCTGCCAGGCTTCCCCTCCCAGCTCTTGGCCCACGTTGCTGTGGACGGTGACACGGGTGCTGTCCGCGCCGCTCGCCCCGCCAGGCAGCGCCAGCGGCAGGACAGACGCTCCAGCCCATGCGAGCACGGCGCTGCTCCCCGCGCACGCTGCGCTCTCCGTGCGGTGCTTTGCTGACGACCCACGCTCGCTCCACAGTCACTGGGTGCCAGGGATCGCCAGCACTGCCACCCCTCCACATTGACAGGGGCCTGGTGGACCTATCCTGCTTCTGGAGCACGTGGTGGACAGCATCCCTCTCTAATGACGCAGCCTTATCCCAGCATGAACAACAACTGGATTTGTTCCTGTATGGCAACAGGAACACCATTACTATGATGTCCACTACATTAGCATAAACTTGAAGCTAACCCTGTGACTAAAATTATATATAAAAAAAAAAATCACATTTCAACACCCAGGCAATGACTAGTCCTGACCATGAGGTCTACATAAAAGTGCACAAAGACCTGACAGTGGGCATGGTTTTAAAATCTACCTATATCACTTTGATCTAATGAAAAACATTAACCCACCTATTAACTAGCATGGCTAAACCAAGTGCTTCAAAAGTGGGGCAATAGTTTTTGCATGATTTATTACCTATTTACATATGCAAAAAACTCTTAATGTAAATCCAGGAAAACAAAGACACCCTTCTAATAATTCCAATTGCAATATGAGAGCTGATGAGGACGAGCACAGGTGAGAAGAAGGATATACTAGAACGACACTTGAAGCAGGGACTCAGGAAGGCACAATAAATTTGATTGGTCCAAATATGACCAAGATGACAAAAGTAACTGGTCAGGGCAGTGTTGATTTATTTTTAATGCCACAAGTGCTCCAGGACTTCAGTCGTCCTTAGAATCTCTTTGTGAAATTTCAGTGAGACAGGGTACTCGGAACGACAGAAGAGGTTTGTTGACTAGAGCGCCATCTACTGTGTCAGCACCAAGTACCTCTAGTAGCCTCAAAGCCTCCAAATATATAATGCATGTCTGCGCTGTTATTAAGCTGTTGTTACAAAATAAAGGATCTTTAAATGTTCAGGAGTTGACTAAGCTGAGTTTACAGCATATGCATTCACATTAACAGTGCACATTTCACCAACTGAATGAGAACAGCAATAACTTTATTTTTCTCTCTCTCAGATGTTTTCGTCCATAATATTTGCTGCAATTGGAGTTATAGGAGCTGGATACTCCTTTGCAGTGTCAGCAGTAGCCATAAACAAAGGCCCTAAATGTGACATTGGGCAACAGTGGGACTATCCTTTCCAGAACGGGTAAGGCAAGACAATTAGTGGGGGGAAAAAAAAAAAAAAAAAGACACTTTAAGTTTGTGATGATCAATCTTTCAAATCTGTTGTGTAAAAATGGGAATTTTTTAGTACTTGTCACCCAAACACAGCTGCTCTTAGCAGAACCAGCAATGCACAGCAATACTAAATAAGATATAATAGCACATCCAATTGAAATTACTAGTTTTCAAAGGAGCCAATAAAAAGAAATGCACAGTTACAGTTTATTCTCAGGATTGTAAGCATTATACAGGGCTACATTTGAGATAAATGGCTAGCTGTGACATCCTGTATTGAGATCTGACGGCCTTCACAGAATTAGTATTTATGTCATTTTATTCTGCCACTAAAACAGGCTTGCTCTCATACATACATACTACTGTGTCCAGAGAGGTGATGTAAAAAACAGCCATCCCTAGTGATCTAGTTGCTAAAAGCTCTAATATCGTATGCTTTATTTCAACCATAATTTTAAGCTACAGTCAAGGAATCACTTGAAAACATAGAAAACAAAGCAACATTGAGAAAATTCAGAGGAAATATACTCAGTAGTTGAGCATCTAAATTAAAATATGAAGATAAAAATTAGGAAGAATACTTTTATATCAGTTTGCTCCTCTTTAGCTGAAGCACCAAGAAAAGCAAAGGTTATTCTCTTCTGTTCGTTGGGCCAGACATGACTGGTTTTGTAGCATTTCAAGACTTTGAAATGTTCATGTTGTTTTTAATCACTGTTTTGCTATGTCCTGTGTTATTTTACTTACATTGTAATACAGTAGATTGAAGACAAACATTTAAGTTGTTGCTTCCTTGTTCACAACCACATTTTGATGCACTGAATTACATGCCCCAGCAAAGACCACAGCTTTAACACACATAACTATAAAAATAAAAGCCCTTGGCTTCCACCACAGAGGAACGGTAGGAGACTCCGTATTCCCCAGGAAGCCCTCCAGGAAGGGTATGCTTTCTGGACATATTTAATGTGCCACTGGATGTCAGCACTGCTCCACTCAACAGCATAACTAAAATGACATTAATCAGTAGGAAGCTATTTCAGACAAAAGACAGTAGTAGAGACAAACGCAGTAAGTTTGGTAAATATCTGGCTATGGTCTTATCTCATAGTTTCTTCTCCACAAAATACGAGGAAGAATTTGATTTGGTTTAAAACTTGCAGACTCATCTTTGATTGTTTGTTTTTTAGCCTCTGAATCAACTGAAGCAATTAGTTTCAAAAGATAAAGCACGGGAGAGGAGCAATGTACTAAGTATTAATCATAGTATAATTGTTTTGTACAGTACTAAAGGTAACAGAACTTCAGTCATGTCCAAGTATAGCAGACACAGCTAACAGGCCATACCAGCCCAGCTTTCTCGCAGACAGCAGTGCTTCCTTCCTAACTGCTTTGTTTTTCCCTTCACGCACAGGGATTATCTAAGTAACCACACGATCTGGGACAAGTGTACAGCACCTGAAAATATAGTTCCTTGGCACTTGACCCTCTTTTCCTTGCTGTTAATTATGAGTGGGGTCCAAGCAATACTCTGTGGCATTCAGGTTGTGAATGGGCTCTTCGGAACAATCTGTGGAGACTGCAAATGTTGTGGATGCTGTGGGGTAAGCAATTATGTTTCTCTTTTATCATTGTGTGTATTGATGCACCCAATTAGCTGACAGCCTGAAACGGGACTATGGCCATGTTTTGTAGATTAAATACAGTTAAAAAACTTACAGCTACATGCTGGAAACACTGCCTCAGTCCTTCCAAATACTTACAGGATTTATCTGCCAGCTTCCCACAACCTCCGAAAAATAATAAAATCATTTGAAAGTCACAGAACAGCAAGTGCTAAGTTACCTGTATACTTTTTTTTTTCCTCCAGGGAGATGGACCTGTCTAAAAATATTGTAGGAAACTCTTCATATCTTGGGAGAATCTCTTTCAAAACAGTTCTACAAAGCACCTCTCATGCACTGTCACTGGCTAAGAAGATCAGGATGAAGGGCACTTCCTCGTCTGAAGTTATGAAGCTCTGACTTCCCTTCTAGCCTTCTTGCAACTCCTCATTAAGGAATAAAATAAGCACTATTCAACTTTCACACTCATATTTATTTTTGTAAAACACCTTCCATTTAGAAAATACAGTATTCTCAGACAAAATATTTGTTTTCTCTACAAATTAACTTTGGCTTGTGAAAGTTGCTGATACAAGCTCAGCTGTAGTGCAATGGCATCTGCTTGCCTTTGAGGTTTATCAAATGGAAGGACCACCTGTAAATTATTATGAATACATGCTTATGTATATGGAAAAGCAATGACTCATCTCTACCACACAAGCTATGATTAAAATGATCTTTAAAAAGAAAATCTTGGTTACAAAAGGTGTTTGTGAGGTTTCTCGTCCATGTCTGACACTTGGGAAGTCACATACTACTCACTACTCTTACCGAGTTTCTCCAAGCTTCCCCCACAGCGTTCTCGAAGCTCAGAACTGAATTACTGATTTGAACACAGGTTACAACGACCATTCAGTTGAGAACAGCAACTCATAACTCATTTTCTTTAAACTTCCAAGCTATATATGAGTGTGTAGTCTATTTATTCCTCTTCTTCCAAAGATTTTATTTAGCTGTGTTCGGCACCGTGCTATGCAAGAGACAGGCCAAAATATCCTTTTAAATAAACTTCTTTTAAATTTTAGAAAGAAAACTCTCTTTCCCAGAGTAATCAAGGAAACAATAAGAGGATTGGGAGGGAAGCCTGAGGGATTCACACCAGCTGATGTACTTCTTAAGAAATTCCAACCCCCCAATCTCCACAAACCGGCCTGCCAGATTAGTTCTTTCAAGACCTCTATTTCATCAAGGCATTTGCCAGATATTTTCCCTAGCACTTTCTTCTTGAGGTAATGCTTGTGCCCTGTGATTTCTGAAAAAGTATTTCATGTACTCGGTATCTACACCAGAGATATATAAAGAACATCAAGGATTTATAAGCACTGAAAGCTGGTGTGAACAACACACAATAATGTTAAATGGCTAGATTTAATTTTAAGAATTACATTAATAAAAGCAGAAAGGCCTTAAAGATACATTGTGCGAGGGAGTTTAAAAACCCTCTAAAAGCTCTCTAGAAAAACAGCTGCCTCTCCCACCTGTTCTGCAGCACTGCAAGGGAATTTGAGCGCACCCTTTACACCACCGCCCACCAGGGCAACCATCTAACATCTATGCTTTCATTTGTGGCTAGCAGCTGTCCAGCACCTCATCTGCCATTTGTCTTTTTGTGTATATATAAAGTCTTTGGGAATACGGAATGTTTCTCATCAGCATTCAACAAGGGGTTCAGTACACGGCACAAAAGTTTGATACAATAATAAAAGGAAGAGAGGGGCTAAGATCAGGAACCTGTGACCCAAAAACAAAAATAATGGGTGTCCAAATGAGTCGGTGTTTTTGAGGTGCCCACTTGCATGGTGTTTTCTAGTATGGGCTAATACTCAGTTGATACTGAGACTAGGTACACACACTTCACCTTGTGATCTGAGCTGCATTTGCTCAGATCTGCTTTGGACCCTGGGCACTGCACAACCAGAAACAAGCAGCTCAGCAGTGTTCCTAATTCAGTCCTGTTAGGCTTAAGGTTTGAGAGCCCCCTTGGAATATCATTATCTGCAGTGTCGGTTATGCAATAACTGCAGATTGCCTTCTGTGTTTTTACTGAGCTAGGTGCCCAGTGAAACTGGGGACAGGGGCTGATCAGAGGCTGTCGAAAGACATATATTGAACCAGTGGTATTCCTGGGAAGAGAGATAGTAAGTAAACTGAAAATAATGCTAGAGAGTGACAAAAATCGACAGCAAGAGAAATCCTGAATAAGAAACTGAAAATGCTAAAACAGAGCTCAGTAGTCCTGACTAACTTGTACACCACACAGCATTGGCTGAAAAAGGTTGCAGTTCTAAAATACACAAATGCCAACTTCTATGCAAGTGCAGAAATTCTGGTAGTTTAAAGAAACAAATATCAGCACGAGTTGTAAAAATCTCAAGGATGAGCACATTATCTGAAGCTTCATCACTCATTAAAACTGGCTGCTCAGTGACAGCTGTATGCGGGGGCTTCGGGCAGGATATTTTAACACAGGGCAGGACCTTCAGCTGAATGTTCAGGGACATTAATGGAAAATACACGGCTCAGTAAATCAGACTGCAACATATATGCACACTGAGTGCGTGTATTCGATTTTGAGCCCACTCATTTCAACTCAGCCTGACAAGCCTGGCAATCCTGTGGGGATAACCTATATGCAGCTGGAGTGCTGTATTTTATTGAGTTTATCCAATAAGCAGAATGGAACAACCTTAACTCTAGTACAGTGTCATTTGTGAGGGTATAATGCATTGCTGAATTGACAACTGTTTGCATGAGCCTTGTTTCTAAAATTAGGAAATACCAAATACACAAAGATATTTGTGCTTCCTTTGAGATGTCCATATCAGCCAAGAGCCAAAGTTCGCTCAGATGTCCACCAACCACCGCAGACCAGCTTCAGCTCCGCTTTCACGGTCTCCATGTTATTCACAGAAGGTCTAGCTAACAACAAGGAAAACTACACAGCACACCAGGACAAGCCATACTGCTGATGGTGGGGGAGCTGCTATGTGAAATCAATATGTGTGGGTTCTTTATCCCACAGCGTGGACACTGACACCACTGCAAGGGGAATGATAATCATCATTAAACAAACAAAACGACAACAACAAAAAATCTCTTAAGTTTTCACTTGCCAAGTCGTATTTTTTTTGTCTCTCCACTGAGAAACAACCAATGCAGCAGCCGTGCCAGGACCGTGGGCCATCCCACAGCACCCCGGACGATCCGCACGGCGGCCGCCCTCACAACGCCGTGCTCCACAGTGCCTGCTGGCACGCGGGCGGCCCTGTCGGCCCGCACTGCGGCCCGCTGGCCCTCCAGCCTGTTCCCCAAAGCACAGCGGGGCGGCTGGCAAGGAGGGACGTACCACCAGCAGCAG